TTTTTGAGATCTGGAATTGAGTTTCCATTTGATTTAGTATTGCTGGAGCTTCCTTTTTGAGATCTGGAATTGAGTTTCCATTTGGTTTAGTATCGCTGGAGCTTCCTTTTTGAGATCTGGAATTGGGTTTCCATTTGATTTAGTATTGCTGGAGCTTCCTTTTTGAGATCTGGAATTGAGTTTCCATTGATTTAGTATTGCTGGAGCTTCCTTTTTGAGATCTGGAATTGAGTTTCCATTTGATTTAGTATTGCTGGAGCTTCCTTTTTGAGATCTGGAATTGAGTTTCCATTTGATTTAGTATTGCTGGAGCTTCCTTTTTGAGATCTGGAATTGAGTTTCCATTTGATTTAGTATTGCTGGAGCTTCCTTTTTGAGATCTGGAATTGAGTTTCCATTTGATTTAGTATTGCTGGAGCTTCCTTTTTGAGATCTGGAATTGAGTTTCCATTTGATTTAGTATTGCTGGAGCTTCCTTTTTGAGATCTGGAATTGAGTTTCCATTTGATTCAGTATTGCTGGAGCTTCCTTTTTGAGATCTGGAATTGAGTTTCCATTTGATTTAGTATTGCTGGAGCTTCCTTTTTGAGATCTGGAATTGAGTTTCCATTTGATTTAGTATTGCTGGAGCTTCCTTTTTGAGATCTGGAATTGAGGGACCGGTTTAATTGGGGATGGTTTCTTAGATCCCTTTTCTATTTGGGTGGTATTTTCTGAGCTATGAAGTGCCTAGTATTGGCGGGGGTCACCCGGACCGGTTTTTAATAGGGGGAGGGTTTAACACGGGGTCAACATTACCACATCGAAGCTGCTGCCTCTTTCGAAGGTGAACTTGCCAGGCTTCAGGCTCCGAAAAAAATATGGACCAGAAACCATCATAGTTCTTGTGGGGGGGAACCATAGGTGTCCTTTTTGGTTGTTTTGGTAGAAACATAGATGGCGATTCCTGGTTTTCCTGGTGGTTTAATCATCTACCAGGGCCATATTTCCCCTAAAAGGACACCTAAGGGGGGAACGCTGATGTAGCTTTGGTATGAACCTCTTGGGTGAATTATTCATGTCGTAATGTCTGAGTTGCGCTTGAATGAGTTGGGTACCTGTTTCTGGGCGAGAACTGCGGCACTCAGGATGCGAGCGGCACCTGCACCAAAGCTGCGCTCTCATGCGTGGAAGATGGCATTTTTGAGCCCCTTGGCCCTGCGCTCTGGGTGGTAGGCTAGGCGCTCTGACACATCCTCAAAACCTGGGTGGGGAAAGGGAAAGTCGCCAGCTGTAAATATTGCCCTTTTGGTTTCAATTTACCATGAGTATCGAGTACATAGATCATCTCAGCGCCAGACTTAGCTTGCCTGTTTTAACTTTCTAGCCTTAACCTTTCAACCAACAAAAAGCTTCCCTGCGACAACGGCGGGTGGTGCGAACTTGCATATGACCAGCCCCCCATCTTTCGCTTTGAGCAGCCATGTTGAACCAGTGTCATTTGGGGAAGACATCTGGAACCTCGTCCTTGGGATGTCCTTTTCCCCTCTTTGACCTGGAGTGCCCACGCAGCACTTTGCTTTGCTGTTCTGCTTTTGCTTGTGTGCGGTGTGATGACTGCCTTTCTGGAACTACTTCGCTGATCACAGATCAGTCAACTATGCTCAGATAAACTGGCGCTCTTCGACCCCTTCTTCATTTTCTTGGTCTCGGCTGCCGGCACGCGTTGTTGTCTCTCAGGATTCCAGCAACTCTGCCCTTAATTCCTACAGCATGAATCATGATGCTCTTCAGGCGGTTCCCTGTAACCAGCATCCTGTGACCCCAGGCATTTGGACGTTCCGTTTCCAGATTCTGCTCGTGCTCAGTTTTTGAACCTCAGATTCCTGATGCACCTTTATTCAAGCACGGTGCTTTCTTTGAGACTTGCATGCGTCACTTGCAGTTGCCCTGCCCACCAACCTTGACCGCAGCGGTGTGTAGTGGACTTTTACCTCTTGGGACTCAGGAAGGTTGTCCTTGTTACGATTGTCGCTGCCACAAGCCCGGCTGCAGCTTTGTGGTGGATTGGCTTAGCTTGCCCAGTTTTACTGCTGTCTTTGCCAAGGTTAGCCGGGGCCGTGAATAATCCACTCCCTGCCTTTTTGTTTCCCCTTCATTTTCGGCGCCTCTGAGGATGCCCCTTGTCTTGCCTGGCCTTTGGCCCTGGCTTGTTGCTGCCCCTGGGCTGTTTCGCACAGTTCTTGGAAGCTTTTCGATTGTTCCTGGGGGATGCTTCCCTGTGGAGGGGGGGTTGTCCCTGTATTCCTGGAGTCTCTATGACCCTTCAAAAACGGGTGAATGACCCCATTATTTTAGGTAATGACCAACCATTTGTTTAGGGTCATGGAGACTCCAGGTAGTCACGGTGTTTCGCGTTCTTGTCGTCTACTCGCCATAGTTAACTTACTGCGCCACTGCCATAGTTTCGTGGTTCCACCGGCCTACCGCCCTTGGGATAGTAGAAGGGATGGCGCCCTTGGTTCGGGATCTGGGAAGACATGAAGCAATGGAAACGACATGGGCTTTCTGCAAGAGAAGAGGAACCTTGCTACCCTGTTCACTACCGCCGGGTCGCGAGAAAGGCGCGTGTAAGAAAGTGGTTCGCGACGCTTGGACATGAAAGGCTGGGCCTGAGTCATATGCAGTTGACTTTCCTAGAATATTGTCTTCATCACGCGAAGCTTAGGTTCAGTTGTATTTGAAGTGCCTGAAAGTTCAACAACCCCTCTCCCCAGCATTGTATAAGCTCTGAACTTCTGAACAAAAAAACACAATGCTCACCTGGCCGGCCACTGGTGTGGGAGTCTTGGGCAGGAGCCTCAGGCTGCGGACTGTCGCGGCTGGCCCGAGGGAGAAACGAACCAACCACCACGAAACGCCCAACCCTCCCTCCAGGCCTTGGGTTTCCTCTCGCGCGCCTGAGGCTTAGGAGCTGCGGTGTGATGTCGCTGGGCGGCGACAAAGTCACGGAGGCATTGGTGGCGTCTCGGATGGCTTCGAGTCGAAGGTGCAAGAAACGTTGGTGACTATCTGGAGTCTCCATGACCCTTTGAAAATGTGTCAATGACCCAATTTTTTTGGGTAATGGCCCCATCATTTTGGGTAATGACCCCATTTGTTTAGGGTCATGGAGACTCCAGGTACTTCCATTTGCTGGCGAAGACGTGTGTGAGCATCAGCCAATGGCGGCTTTTATCTGTTGTTTCAGAAGGAACTTGTACAGAATATATGAAAGGGATGCAAGCAGAGCGTTCAATCCAGCAACAAACCCCTGTTGCCTAAGACTCTGTGCTATTTTGGTTTTAAAGGGAACCTATCACTTCTGTAAATCTATTTTTTGCTCCAGGTGACTTACGGAAACGGAGGGCTACATCTTGCAAGCAGTGGTTCAGTTTGGTGAATTGACTCACCAGTTGGGTTGGCAAAGGTGAGATTTATTGTTGGATCTCAGAGTTGAAACTCGCAGACTCAGTTACATACTCGCTTGGTGTTCTCTCATCTTCTAAATTGCCAAGCGAGCAGTGGAGTCCGTGTATGGGGGCTTCTCAAAGTAGGCGATCCCTAGTAACATTTTGTTTCCTTGTGGCTTCGCTTTGAAGCCGCCCAACAGTTTTCTGCTTTGAGAAAAGATTCGGTCAAGGACCATAATCTGTAACGGGACACCCCGGATTTTTGAACTACTTTTTCCAGCTAAAGGCTCGTTGGGTTAATAGTCCTGCGCAAGTTGTTAAAGGGTTCTGGTGTGCGATCGAAAGCCCAAATTCCTGCCGAACCCAGAAATGTCGGATCAACGTAGGATCATATTTCAATCGAATACCCTTCAACCACTGTTTTTTGGACAAAACTTGAGATTTTGGACCAACACCGCAGTTGTTGGGGCCCCTCTTTGGTTTTCATGTTCCATCGCGCAGTTACCTCAAGTTGGAGGGCAGCCCTTGGCCCTTTGGCGGTGAATTCTCCGTGCTAAGACCTGCGTGCTTGGGATAATCAGGGGTCAGCCCATGGGAAGTTTCAGGTTCCAGGCTGCCGGTTTGCATTCCTTAAGGAGGGTGTGTCTGTTTTGGGGTTGGATCCCCCCAAAATGGTTTTGTTTCTCTTTTTGACTCCAAAAAAAGCACCCAGGAGAGGCCCAATGGAGCCTCGTGGTCGTCATAAGGACAAATCCAAGAAAGAGTACAGGAAAGAAAACAATGATGCCCAAACGGGTAAAGTTTAAAGGGAAACCCAACAAAATCATGGGGATCAATCAGGTGTGGGGGTTCTCCATGGCCTCCATTTGCAGGAACCTCGACAGAATGTTTTTCAGGAAGTAAATGCAGATTCCCAATCCGAGCTGTAGGTAACATATACACACATACCAAGGTTTGACACATTTGGAGGGTAAATGTGGGTTAATCTTGCATACAGGGATTGTTTGGGATTGGTTTCCGAAAGGGATCCCTTGTCACACGACAAGGTCGCCCACCAGAAACATGGCCTCACTCTGGGCAAACTGCTGCAATCTGCCATCTTTTCACCAGGTCGTTGGAAAGGTTTTGGAAGCAACGTAAAAACCTTCACCTAGCCAAACCTTCCAAAGACCCGATCAATTCAACTGGGTCGCTAGTTGAAAGGGCCTGCTTTGCCTTTCTAGGGGTCTTTTTTAGGTGGATGAAAGGAGGTTGTGGACTTCCTGGGCTGAGCAGTGAGGGTCTTCGCAGAAAGCATGTCACTTTCTGTGCGTGGGGGCAGAAGCCCCAGATTTGGTTTTGGCTCGTTTTTTTTTCTTTCTGGGATACCCTTTTTTGGAGAGATATTTAGTCGTAAGGGTGCCCGATTTTTGCGTCACAGCGAAGACCCCTGCATTCATGTTAGGAATCCTGAACTCCCCTTTTGGGGTAAAAAACAAATACTGGTCTGCTTTAAAGGTAGACAAACAGGAGTTTATTTGAATAATTGCGGCTTGAGCATGTTTAATCCAGAACACCCGCAGCAGCTGAGGATCACTGCTGCGAAGAGTTGGCCTCAAAGCATGGCGTCGACCTGCGCACAAGCGGCCGCGGCCGCGCGATGGGTCGCCTGCGCAGGGAGTGCGAACGTGTCAAGCGCGGCCTGGATGAAGCTGGCACAGCGTCCTGCGGGCACCGCCACCATCAACCACACACTTCTTCCCTTGGGGAAGACTAACCTTTGGTGCATTTTGCTTGGATGTTAGGACTTCAACTTTTTGCCAACCAATGGGTTTTCCATCAAACCACTAAAAGTCATTCACTTTTAGCAGGGGAGCAGAAAGCAACCGAGTAACACAGGCAGAACTTGAAGGTCTGTTTTAAAGTTTTGGGGGTGGTAGGAGCATCGGGCCGCCGGTCGTGTGGGTCGCCGGGTCCAGGCGCGCTTGCAATAGATTGATTCTCAACATCGACAGCTATCTGATCTTAGCCAATCCTGGTTTTGGGGCGAAGGGGCTGGCTGGAGATGCTCCTAGAAATCTTGTGGAAGAGCGCGTCTTGCGGTTGTAAATGAATGGGACGGGAATTGGCTTTCCCACTCTGAAAGCAGTGGCTTCAATTTCTAGCGAAGAAATACGTGTCCCCAGGCTTCCCAAAGCGAACCCCGCGGTCCTTTCAGGCTTGTGGGTTGCCAAACGTGGACGCTTGCGAAATTCATGTTGCACCGTTCAGAAGCTCTGGAATGACATGTTTTTTTCTTCCTGTAGATGCCAACAGGGTTCAACCATGGTTTCTTCGGACAGGAGTTTGTGCATCCAAGGTATGTTGGGAGGCTTAATTTCCCAGTTTATACATCCATGTCTCTGTAAGTATCACCCAAGGTAAGCGCGAGCAAACGTTCCCTTATTGTGGTGGTGTCCCACTGCGGATTGCGGACTAGGAATACGCATCCCCCTGTTTTGATGCTGAACAGGTGTGGAAATGGGTCGTTTTTTCGTTTTTTGAGGGTACCCTCCAGTCGAACGGAGAACCTCACTGAGGGGTCTGAGACCATTTTCCTTTCAAAGGGACATGGTGAGTCCCATGTTGGTGGACCAGAGGGTACCCCTTTAAGGGCCTCAGTTGTCCAGTGGCTCCCTTTTTCCCCTTTTTTGGCTGCCCCAATGTCCTACACACCCAAATGGGTGTGGCTCAAAATTGCGTAACTAGGGTTACGCAGGTTTTAGTCTTTGGTTCCATTCACCAAAACACCATTTTGGTATATTTTGGTACCGGTTTTTTGAGCCATACCCAAATCTGACCACTGCTTTTCGAGAGCCGTCTGACATCTGAGGCACTCTGAGCCATTCTCTGCAGAGCCAGGTGGAGGTGGACGAAATTTGTGCGGCTTGGATCCGTTACTCCCCACATGGAGCACACAAACCCCTTCTTTCAAAGACCCTTCCACAGAATATTCACACATCATCTCACACAAAGCATGTCTTTTCAATAACTCTTTTCTACAGAAAATTCACATATCCTCTCACCCAAAACATGTATTTTTGCATGCCTTCTTTCACAAAAGTTCACATATCCTCTCACCAACCCCATGCCCTTTTTCAATGGCTCTTCCACACAAAATTCAATTCACATATCCGCCCACACAAACCATGCCTTCTCTCAGAGGCTCTTCCACAGATAATTCACATATCTTCCCACACAAACCATGCCTTGTTTTATTCAAAGACTCTTCCACAGAAAATTCACACATCCTCTCACCCAACATATGTCTTTTTACATGTCTTCTTTCAATGAAACAAAGGCAGCATATGTGAAAGAGTTGCCAAGGAAAGTGAACCCTGTGTAGAATAACGCCAGGCTATGGCTGGGACAGTTTGTGTTACATAAATGGTGGTTTTACATGATGTTTACTGTCTTTTGCGGTACTTTATGAATCACTGTAACCCTGACTCTTCCACAAAGACTCACATATCATCTCACACAAAACATGTCTTTTTCAATAACTCTTCTCTACAGAAACTTCACATATCCTCTCACCCAGAACATGCCTTGTTGCACAAAGGTTCACATATCCTTACGCTCCGCAATTGTTGCGCAACATTTGGAATTAGTTGCGCAACATTTCCCTGGACCAAAAAACCAAAATCCAAAAAACCAAAAAAAACAAAGAATCCCAACCATGGTGGGGGCTAGGATTGGTTTTTTGGTTTTTCGTTTTTTTTTCCCCTTTTTTTTCCGTTTTTGGTCCACAAAATGGCCTTGCAGAAAATGCATGAGTTCAATCAACATACACTGTAAATATCAATGGTTTTGATACATGATGCAACGACGGGTTTCAACCTGAGGAGGGCCTCGACTTCTTCTGCCCCATGTCCCGCGCGCGGCTGGAGGAGTTGGTGCGATCCAGGCTGCAGCTGGTGGCGCCGCTGTTGGAACAGGTCCTAGGCGCGACCGGGAGTACTGGGGGAACTAGTATAATATTATATATATATATACATTGATGATTATGATTATCATCTAGGAAACAGCTAGGAAAGGGCTGAAAACCAAAAGGCACACACCCCAGTCTTCCCCAAGTGCTTGAGAGGCCTGCCCTTCTTACCAACTTTTTTGGTGGGGGGAGGGTTCCAAACTACTAAACTAGACTACAGAAAGAAGTTGGTACCCTTATTCTTACCTCTCTACTGGAGGACCTAGCTGAGGTGTGCTGTTTGTTCTTTGTGGTTTTCAGCCATCCGGTTCCTGGCTGAGGTGTGCTTTTGTTGTTGGTTTGTTTTGTTCTTGGTGGTTTTTAGCCATCCGGTTCCTAGCTGTTTCTGTTGTTGTTGTTGTTGTTGTTGTTGTTGTTGTTGTTGTTGTTGTTGTTGTTGTTGTTGTTGTTGTTGTTGTTGTTGTTGTTGTTGTTGTTGTTGTTGTTGTTGTTGTTGTTGTTGTTGTTGTTGTTGTTGTTGTTGTTGGATTGTTTTGTTCTTGGCGATTTTCAGCCATCCGGTTCCTGGCTGTTTACGTTGGTTTGTTTGGTTCTTGGTGGTTTTCAGCCATCCGGTTCCTAGCTGTTTACACTTTTTTGTTGTTGTTTTGTTCGGGGGGGGTTCCAGTCTATTTAACCTGACCAAACAAGTGGGCCTTGGGTAAGACCATAGGCAGGGGTTCTGGTTGCCATTTTCCTCCAAAGGGAACCTCAAAAGTGGCGATTCAGCGGGGAAACTGATCAATTGTTCAGGGGAAATCCAGTGACCCCTGTATCTTTGGGGTCTGTTTGAAAGGGAAACCAATTGGCAAGCCACCATTCAGGGTGTTCCCAAAAAAGACCCAAAGGACTGAAATAGATCAGCACTTGGGGGGGAGGGGGTGGATCGGTGTCCTGTTGCTTTCATCATACCAAGTTCTAGACAGACTTTGTTCAGCTCTCCCTGTTGGTGCTTCGTATCACCACCTTTTTCTGCCAACGTTTCGCTTCTGTGGGGAAGCATGGGATGGCTTGTCAGAGTTGTTCAAAAAGCCCTAAGACAGCTAACATATGCAAACAAAGGCTCATCAGAGTTGTTCAGGAAGCCCTAAGACAGCTAAAATATGCTAACAAAGGGTTTCCAAGAAGCATGGGATGGCTCATGAGGCTCATCAGAGTTGTTCAGGAAGCCCTAAGACAGCTAAAAGAGCACGAAAGGAACTCCTAAAATTGGTTTGCTTGGCTTTGGTTTCTGGGTGTTGTGAACAAAATCAAGTCCGTACCTGGAGTCTCCTTCTGACCCTTTAAAAATGGGTCAATGACCCCACTGTTTTGGGTAATGACCCCATTTTTGTTCGGGTCATGGAGACTCCAGGTACTTCCATTTGCTGGCGAAGACGTGTGTGAGCATCAACCAATGGCGGCTTTTATCTGTTGTTTCAGAAGGAACTTGCTACAGAAAATATGAAAGGGATGCAACAACAAACCCCTGTTGCCTAAGCCTCTGTGCTATTTTGGTTTCAAAGGGAACCTATCACTTATTTGTGACACCCATTTTCAGGGTTGTTGGGAAACCTTTTTGCATTTTTGTTTATTGTGGTTTAGTGGTTGAAATCCAACCACTTAACTGCTAAAATTTTAACTTTTTGCTCCCCTTCCAACGTCAACCAAGTTTGGGCATTACTTCTAAGTTCTATTCCCAGCTGAAGATTAGTGCAACATGTCCAGATCTTTTGTCCTTGCTGGGGTTCCAAGTGAGCGTGCAGGGAAGCCAAAATGAAAATCCCACTGCTTCCGGTTACCACTGTGATAGGTAACAATATGTTTTTACCGATTGGTTTTACATGATGGTTTCCCGTTGTTACCTACTATAGTGGTTAGCTGGAAGCACCGGGAAAGATTAAGACCGCCCATCTTGGAAAATGCAAAGTTAAAAAACGATCTCACCCACGAGATGTAGGTCTTGTCCTTGTTCAGGTGCGGTCAATGGAGCCAACCGTGCCTTCAGGTGAGCTGGACAAGTCCGACGTTCATGATGTCCTGCTGGTGGGGGGAGCTGCCAACACCCCCAAGCTCCGCGAGCTGGTGCGGGACTTCTTTGACAAGGATCGATTTTCCCGAAAGCCGAGGGCCAAAAGGAAAGCTTAATTGTAGCTTGTGCTACTACTACCCGGTTTACTTTCGCTCCCTACTTGGGTGGTCGGCCGCGTTAGTAAGTTGTCGGTAACCTAGGTTACAAAGCACTTTTAAGTCCCCCTAAGTGGGCTTAGCCTTGTTATTAGGGGGTTCTAGCCCATAAGTGGCGAACAACTTACTAACTTGGCAACGAACACTCAAGTTTAGTTCCCCATTTCGGTGCACTTTGCATCAGCTTTTGGCACAAACTCAATGGCGGTTGCCACCGCGCAGTTTTCCCCCCTTTGGATAGAGGGCGAAACCTGTCAGATTGATACGGGTCCCTCGTGCATTTTTGAGGGCCTTTTTTCGCGTTATGCATAATATAGAACTACCTGGAGATTCAAACACCCAGAAATTTCTGGGCGTTTTGGGTAATGGGTACGATTGGAGGAAAACTGGGGGTTCTAGTACGAACCGCTGGAAAACTAGCACGAAGGCCGGCGTCTAACGTGCTGCTGGCCGTTTGGGAGGATATTTGAGCCAACAAGATCTGACCTCATATCAATATAGTTTCCTTTCTCGGTGCTTGCATTTCCCGTTGCAAGCATGACCCTACATCGGTGCCCAATCATGGCATGCTTTTGAGCGGGCAGTGCATGAAACAACCCCAATTGACCCACTTTTTGGGATTTGCGCTCGTTTGCGGGTTTTTGCGGGCGTTTTGCGGGTTTTTGCGCTCGTTTTGCGGCCAAAAGTGGTACGGACAAAGTGCGTTTCTTACTCGAAGCATGTTTAGACTAAACTTGCTCCGATTTGCGCACCACTCCCCCGCACAGCTAGGATTGAAGGGTGTTGATGGAGGGAAGGATTCGAAGTGTTTAGAAGTTTCTGAAGATTCGAACATCTGGTGTAGTGGGCAATATCAAGCTGAATGAGAGAGAAAGCCCTGTGCAAGAAGGAAACACCCAATAATTCAAATTTCTAGGCGTCTTAGTCGTTTTGCGGTAAAAACGATACGAAACAGGCAAAAGCAATACAATGACCAAAACACCTACTTTTTTCTAGTCGTTTGAAGCTGCAGGTATATATATATATATATATATGTTGCAGCTGCAAGTAAGCCAACCGCAAGCCATGGTATATTGCAGGTCATTGCAGGTTATTCCTACCCCCATGTTCTACACGAGAATCAAAGGCACGTGACTGCTCCATGCACTTCCGAGTGAGCAGCTGTAGATCCCAAGATGACCCCATGTTTTAGCGCCCATTTTCCGTGAGCAACCGTGCCCCCTACCCCAAATACCCCCCTTTTTACGTTGTTAGTTAGGAAAGGTTTTCCAGGGCAAATACCTCGTCCTCGTTGTTTCGTAAAGGGTCGACATCAGACCCCCCAAGGAATGCGAATCTTGGGTGTAGAGAGGTAGACGTTCCGTAAACTCTTGGGCCCAAAAACGAGCTTGCCCTTGAGGTAAAATACAAAACATACTGTTGATGGACAGAATCCTGCACAACGTTCATACCATGAGAATCATGGGAAACCATTGTTTCTTGGTATTTGCAGGAGAATCATCATTCCAGGGTTTGTTTAGGTGGTGCAGGATTTCGTCCATCCACAGTATGTGTGGCATGTGCCTGCCTATGTTATAGCCTGCTCACCGATGTGGGTGCAAACCGAGCTCATGGTGATGTAAGTCCGTTTGCTTGGGGATCCCTTATTTCAGCTGTTGGATTTATTGTAAGAGTTGCAGATGTGTTGATTTGTTTTGATTTATGTGTTGCAAACATCTTTAAAGTTGCAGAAGTATGGGGTGCTCTTGTGGTGTCGATGACTTTCCATATTGTGTGAACCGGACAACAGCTCAATCATTTGTCCTCGCCAACCGTTCCTTGATCCGCTTGGCGGAGAAGGAGTAGTGACATACTGTGGATGGACGAAATCCATTTGAGACCATGGGAAACCATTGCTTGTTGGTATTCACAGGGGAATCATAATTTGAGGGTTTCTTGGGTGATGCAGGATTTCGTCCATCCACAGTATGGACCATTATTGAGATCTTGCCGTATATATAAACTCACCCAGAAGAAATGCTAGCCTTGAGCTCTTCCGGTTGGATCGTTCTTGCTTTGACGAGAAGAGTTGTCAGAATCAGTAGCAAGAACACGCAAAAGCCCGTGCCTCCCGCACTTACCTCGATTTTAAGGACGAGATGTTGTCGCGGTCCCAAAGGGGGCTGAAGGGATTTCCAGCATTTTCGGCACCCCTTCCTGTGAGCAACACCAAGCTGACCTGGTACGTTGCATATCTCGAGGCTTCTTGACGCCTCTGTTCTTGAGCGATTGTTTCAGCAGTGCCACAATCACCCTATCCAACAGCGTATGCTTCGTTTACTTGCCCCTCGAGTTAGCCTTTGGTTTGTTTGCCATGCGTCTGTGTACAATATACATACACATAACTAGGTTCCCCAGTAGTGCCCTTTTACCCTTTTTTGGGGGAGAGTTCCCCTACTAAAATAGACTACAGAAAAAAGGATACCCTTTCGATGACTGGTCACTTGGCGAGGCTTCTCTTCGCGGGCCCCTGTTTCGTTTGACTGATCTGCTGTTGTTTTGTCGGCTTCCGATGCATGTTATGCGCGTTCTCACGTCGCGAGCTCAGAGGTCCGGGCGGCTGATGAGTGTTCACAAAAGAAGGGGCACCTTTATTCTAACCTCTCTACTGGAGGACCTGGGTGAAGCAGTTCACAGAATTTCCATGGATCAAGACATGTACCAATATATCCACTTGCAACCCAATCCTAGCCTAACACCACCATAAACTGTGTCCCGAGTTCCACCCGAATTTTACCCGCCAAAACCCACCAGAGAAAAACATCCTGGGCCGGCAAGCGCCGCCGCCTTTGCGCCGCAAATTGTGTTCGCCCAGGAGACGATCGCAGGGGTCAGAGCAGAAGAGGCCGTGGTCAGCGGAAACGCAATCCAGGCACAGGAGAAGCCCTGCGTCCGAGTCGATTTCGCGTGGATTTGTGTTTCTCGATTTCCTTCAGGCCTGCCGGGTGACCCCCCGGTTTCCGTTTTTTCTTTTTTGCGTGGGCCCTTTACAAAAAAGTTGAACTACCCAACAATTCCTTTTGTCTTTGTTTTCAGGTTTTAGTTGTTGTTGTTTTTTCCCCAACAGCTGAAAGCTTTGGGGTCTCAGCCCAGATAGGTTCCGGGGTGGTCCGGGGCAGCCCTGAGGTAAGGTTCCACGAGGGTTCCACCAGGGTTCCACCAGGGTTCCACCAGGGTTTCAGCAGGGTTCGACCAGGTTCTGCGAGGGCTGCGGGGTGGTGCACGGCTTGCTGTTGGGGATATCACCTGAGCTTATTTTTTAAGTGCCCAGGACAAGAGGGCCTTTTTTCTTTGGCCAGGGGGTGTCTGGGTCGTTGTTTGGTTCACTGTTTGGCGGTTTTTTGGTGGGGCTCCCTTTGCAATTAATTACGGCCAGGTCAACCGGCCAAATCGGACTGTTTTGCAGTTTGGGTTGAGGTTCCCTTCAATATCCAAAATAGGCAAGTCGGTCAACAAGGACAGCCAAGGTACGTGGTAGAGTCATGAAACGTTGAATTGCTGCCACGATACAGCGGTCATGGATGGGAATCTCCCACTTTGGAGCATACAAGCGGGCCCCCTGTCCCGCAACCACAATTCGGGCCGCTGCAAATCAATTCACGCGGAACCCCAACAAGTGATTTCATCCAAAAGGAGTTTCCTCTACGTCCTGGACGTGTTTTGGCTTCCCTGTTACTCAGGAGAGTAGGCCGCGGGGTTTCTGTCCGGAAGGTTCACATTCAATCTGGGCAAACGGGCATGGAAAACCTTCGAACAGGTGTTCAATACATTCAGCCTTGGACAGTGCCTCCAGATACCACTGGCCCTCGAAAGGCTTATATAGTGGCAAGCGCCTAGCACTGGCTATATGTATAGTATGTTCTTTGGACCATGGTTTCCCCCTAGTTACCTACTACTGTGGCGAAACGCCTGGAAGCACTGGGGTTTGAGTGCCAGGCCGCAATTCTCTGTGGCGTTGGACAACACAACGTCTTGGACCTGCTGCTGCCGCTGGCCCAAAACGCCGTTGACAGAAAGCAGAGGAGGGACTCATCCGTTCTTGCTTTTTTTTATAAGCGGACCCCCAATACTAGGTCCCCCAATAGTGCCCTTTTACCCTTGTCTTGGGGAGGGTTCCCCTACTAACATAGACTACACGAAAAAGGGTACCTTATAGCCTTATAGCCGTCCGGGTTCAAGCACCCCTCGGCTCAGGGAGCCGAGCCCCCGGGGCAGGGCTGGGGCTCCACTGGCCGGTCCTGCGTCCAAAAAGCCATGGCTGGCAGCTCTGTCTTCAACCTGGTGCACCCCCTGGTCACCCTCTTCATTCGCCGTGTTTGTGATGTGTCTTATCCGCTTGGTGGCGCATTCGTTGCCGGTCTGCTTCACCCGGGAGGCATCCTGGCCTTTGGGTCAGTCCCAGCCTCGAGACACCCCCTTTCTTATGGGGTGAAGGTTTTGCTGGCCCTCTTCGTTGTGCGCCTTCGGCCCCTTTGACTCGTTCTCTTCACGCTCTGCATCAGCTTCTCTGGGCGGGTCTATCTGTGTGTGGGTTGTGCCCTTTTGACACCTTTGGCTTTTTCGGCAGTCGTGATGCGGGCTGCCTTGCCCATCGTGCCCTTGGGTCTTTATAGCTTTCAGAAGTCCGCAGCATAGTGAATACATTCCTCCTGCTGTGAGTGGCTGCTACCTCATGGTGCTTTTCATATCCCTGTGGCGTGTGCCAGTGGCCCCGGAGGTCCCGACTTTCTTGGCTTACTTGTCCAACTTTCGGGCCCTACGCTTGTACAGCAGTTTTGTGACTTCCCCCTTTTTGGGGGGTGGGCTGCTTCGGCCTTGCGGCCTTGTGGGGACAGCCTGGGTTCCTGTGCGGGGGGCTGGTCCTCTCTCACAGGGCCCACGGTGCTGCGTGCGTGGCTGTTGGGCCTGTTTTGTCTTACCGGCCAGGGGGGTCCCCTCTCTTTCCGTTGGCTGCGTTGCCCTTTGCCAGGTGTTTCACCCCTCCGGTCGAGCCGCTCCCGGAGGGCTGTGTACGGGGCTTATGCCCCACTTTTCACAGGTAGTAGGGCGGCATGCCCTGCCACCAGCGCACGCTCATCACTCGTGCGTCACGTGCCAAAAGGGTACCCTTATTCTAGCCTTTCCACTGGAGGACCTAGAATAATTACCCCTCCCCCCCAGCCGACCCCAAACATTTGCCAATACGAAGCTCCCTGGAAACCAGACGAACTCAGCCAGGCTCCCCAGATGTGCCTATTTTTTATTATTAGGGTCTCCATTAATTCCCCTTCATAAGATCTTACTCAAAAGTTGTACTCTAAGCGTTTTTTCCTTTCAAACCAATGGGTTGCCTTGCGGGAGTGGTTTTTGTTATTAGGGTCTCCATTAGGTTCCCTCCGTTATTTTGATTTGTTTTTAATCAAATCGAAAGGGCCCCTTTCCTTTAAAAGTTCTTAATCGAAAAGTTGCCTTTTTTGCAAATCAAAGGAGTCCCACTTTTCCAACTGGAACCCACTACTAAACCAACCCAATCTTAAACAGTTCTGGCCAAAAACCCGAGGGACCCTAATACTATACACCCTCCGAGGTTTTTTTGTATTGGGGAGGGGGAAGGACGGTTTATTATTCGGGAGAACGGGTAGGCTATGGCCATGCTATGACCTCACTTGTAGCCATGCTTATACTTTTCAATCTTGGTAGGCCATCCTTACTGGTTGAATTGGCACAGCCTCATGTTTGTCCCCGAGAAGTTTCTTGGCTTGGCTTGTCATCTCAACGCTGAGCCACAATCAAAACCCGAGTAGATGAAGGTTAAGGAGCCTACCAATCAGAAATGGGTGCCCGCCGCCTGTTATTTCCTTACATTGTTCTGGGTAGACCATCTTAACACAAGGCTTTAATCATGACTCATCTGGTGAAGTGCCAACTGCTTTCGGAGTAAAGCCATTGGCGCCAGTCTTCTGCTCGGGCATTCCGAGGGTCGATGCATTGGCTGTGATCGCGAGCTCAAAGAGTTCGTGTAAAATCGGAAACCGTATGGATGGCTCAGGCTCGGTACCTTTTGCGGGGTAGGTTTACAGGCACGTTTTGGGGGGGTACCCCTTATTTTGGGACTAAGCCATATTTAAATATGCACATGGCACTTCCAAACCCCACACACAGCGATACTGTTGTCCCTTTTTTTGGAGCAGGGCTTCCCTTCAGAGGCTGCTTTGCGCCAGCGGCGGGTGCCCAACTGGCTTTTCCCCACGGCAGTCCACTGTGCTTAGTTCGAGGCGATCACCTGGACTCGGTGTGAAATTCTGAACTCAGATCCAGCTTTCAACTTGGGGTTTGGTTGGGGATTCGTTCAGCTTCGAGTCCGGAAGGTGCCTCTTGCGAAGCTCTGGGGAAGTTCCGGACTTTCAGCTTTTTGGGAAGGCCCGTGGTAGCGCTTTCCGTTTTTTTTCTGTGTCCTTTCGAAACCACCCCAAGCAGGAAAACAACGAGTTTCCCTTCCCCCTGGTAAAAAACGCCCCTGAATAAAATGAAGACAAAAAACAACCGGGATGTTTTATTCAGTTGCCCAAAGCCGACCTTTGGACCTTTTGGTTTTCCCGTGTTGGTCAATTTTTAGTGGAGCTGCCAAAAGGTTAACCTTTTATTTCTGGGTCCTTTGGACAAGTGAGTTCAAGGATCGCGGAGACTCCAGGGTACCCAAAGGTTCCAACCCCAAACGCCACACAGCTTTCAGGTTGGATGTGTCTCCCCTCTCCATCGGCTTCGAGTCCGCCAACGGGGCCATGACGCGAGTCATCGCGGGATCCCCGGAGAGTGGGGGGTGCCGGGCCACGCAAAGCGGCAGGGTGGCGAACGGAAGCCGGCGGCCCAACAAAGGATACCTGGAGTCTCCTTCTGACCCTTAAACAATGGGTCAAAGACACCATTATTTTGGGTAATGACCAACCATTTTTCAAGGGTCAGAAGGAGACTCCAGGTACCTCTAAAGATGGTGAGGGCTCATGAAAGAAAGTGAAATGAAGTGAGGCAAAGTGAGTACAAGGATTCGAGCGCTTGGCAGTTCCACAAGGCTTGCACACAGCATTAAGAAAAACATCACAAACACCCTCAGTGAGCCTCCCAAGATCGGAGCGGGAAAGTTGGCGGGCTTTGGGGGTCCGAAGCGGGCGCGCTTTTGCCCAAGCGGGTGGCTCCTTTCTTTGGCAGGGCTCCTTGAAAGATACATGTTGCCCATAAACATGGCTTTGTCCACCAAAATAAAAGGAGACCACCATCTACAAGGCAATGTTCAGGTGTATAATGTAAGGATCCTGTTTAGCAGAACTTGCTCCCTTGCAACAGGAACCAAGAAGCTTGTGCCTGGAGTCTTCTGACCCGAATCAACAATGGTTGGTCAGTTCCCAAATTTTCAATTGGTCATGGCCACCCAGCTTTTATTCCGGTCAGAAGGAGACTCCAGGAAATCTTGTAGAACTGACGGCGATTCCTCAAGGCTTTCTTCCCGGAGTCACAAACGTAAATGAGCCACAATCAAAACCCGGGTAGATGAAGGTTAGTAAGGGACAATCCCAACAATACATAGCTGTGGAAATATCCGCCTTCTTAATTCTTTACCTCTGGGTAGACCATTTTTCTACCGGGTTTTGGTTGTGACTCAAATGATCATCTCTGCAATCCGAGCAATTCCTCCGAACGAGTCCGTCATGACCTTCGAAGCCATTGGGAGGGCCCCAACCGGTACTTGAGGATGGTTTTTTGAGGAGTATTTTGGGGGTCCTTCCGTACCTCCTTGGTGGTACTGAAAGACCCTCTTGAACATAGAAACATTGAGGAGAACAATCATCTGCAGTTTGGTTCTTCCATGTTCAGGGGCGATGTGTGTAGCATCCTCCCGATTGACAGAACTTAGGGACACCCAATTACACACTTTCAAAGCCCTTGACATGTTTTCTCCAGTTTGTGGTCTTTATATTCTTTTGGGAAGATCATCCTGGTGGTAGGCCAAAGATCGGACTTGTCTGGGTCTAAAACTGGGGGATCCCAACAGCAAGCTGGTGACTACTTGGTGCCCATGACTAATTGGAGCCAAGATCCAAGGGTCTCCTTCCCAGCGCTAGGCGTTTCGCCACCATAGTTGGTGACCCTTCGCTAACTCTGGGGTATACTTAGGACACATTTTACTTTTTACCAGTGATTCAAAGTGAAGCAACCAATAAAATGAACTTACCTCTAGGTTGTTACCATGGATGGTTTTCTAGGTTATCGATTCTAAGCATTTTGGGCCAATTCAGGTGACTCCTTCAGTGGAGGGTCCAATGGCTCATCAAGGCCCAAAGCGAATCGACATTTTGACCTTTCGACTCCCCCTTTTTGGTTAAAAGGTCCAATTTCAGTTCTGGGTCCTAGGGCAACTGGGATGATGCTTACTCAGAGTTCTCAACTTGGGAAGACCATTCTAATCCCAGTGGATCCCAGTTACCAATTGGTAGGCAACGAGTTATTGTCCCTTTGGTTTTTAAAGGGTGGGAAGCCCTGAGGTACCTACAAAGGTCAATGGATCCACGAGTGGCAAGCAAACAGTTTAAGGGCTTCTGGCCCTCGATCGGAAGTGAGGTGCAGTAACCTTTGGGCTTGCCATGGATATCCTTTTTGGGGTTGGTTTAAAGGGGATGTCAAGAAAACACACCCCATTTTTTTGAGGGTCCCCGTAGTTGAGACAGGCCCATTTGGTCAACCCGACATGACGATGTCGGTTTTGATTTGTCTTCTCCAGGCTCGGAACACGACCATCCCCACGAGGAAAACCGTGACGCTGACCACCCACAGGCAGACTCGCTGAAGGGGTTCAATGGTCCCTCAAACTACCGTTAAAAGAAGGAAACCGCCCCATTCCACATGTTCATGGGTACCTGGAGTCTCCGTGACCCTTAAAAAATGGGTCAAAGACCCCATTATTATATTTTTGGTAATAACCAACCATTTTTGAAGGGTCAGAAGGAGACTCCAGGTACTTTGAGGGTCAAGGTTCCTTTTGGATGCTAGACATGTTCACAATCGGTGTTTGCAAGCCATCGGAACCGTCTTTCCGGCAGCCGTATAGGGCCCCCTGGTTCCGTGTCGACCCCCGATGAATCAACCAGGGCTCGAAGAACGTGAAGGATTCCCGCTTAAGTGTGACACCCAACGACCAACTGAAGTTTGGAGGAATACTAGACTAAAGGCAAAACAAAAGCTTGCAGATCTACTTGCAGAGTTTTGCCCAGTTTCTGGACATTATACTTCTGGATCAGTCAACCTGGTGTATTAATAGCGAGTGCTTCCCCAAATGTGAAGGCTTTCCTTTCGCATGAAACACCTTGTGAAGACCAATATAGTATATGGGTGTATTTTGTTGAGGGACCTCTTGTTTGGTCTGCGTTACAGGGAAAGCAAAGGGAAGCCACTATGTTTGGGGATCCCTATGTTCAAACACGTCCCTATTTGTTTGTGGTAGCCCCAAAAGTGCAGACTTGTTTGGCCGAACGTGGAGAACCTAAACCAGCCCGGGCCGGACATGTCCTTGTTTTGCGACCATTTGGAGGAGGGAAATCTTTCTTGGAGAGTTCCCTTTGTTGGGTTGGTTTAAAGGCAAACTAAAAACCAACCATGCGGGTTCTGCTATTTCGAGACAAACCCATCTTTATCAGCGATCCTTTCATTTTCGGTTGGTGAATCTCAATTTGCCCAAATCTTGAAGTCAGGGTGTTTCCCTCCCATTTAGCTGGTATTCGCTCTCTGGCAATAGTTGGAGATCAGCCGTTTCCCGCTGACACGATGGCAACTGGGAGAACGGCTCCTGCAAAACACGGGAGGTAGCCCCTTGTAAAGAGGAATGCCACAAGCAGTTGACCCTTGCCAAAAGAGTGAAGCATGAGCAGGGTTGTGGTTTGCACCAGTTTGTTTGCTTGTTTGCCAAAGCCCCTGGCCGTACTTTCTCTTTGGCAATCCTTCTCTTCAGAAAAATTAGGTGGTTTCTGAAGAGAACGGTGATTGCTGAAGAGAACGAAGGGGATGAACCCGTAGAATACCCAACCACTTGTTGCTTGCCCGGAGGGGGGTTCTCAAAGTAGAGGACCCCCTGCCAGGGACAACCAGCCCAGCGTCACCATCCGCATTTACGAGGGCGAGGCTGCACAGTGCCAGGACAGCCGTGACAAGCCGGCTACATACGCCATCAAGGTGCTGAGAATAATCGCGTTCATGTTTGATGGGGAAGCCAGAACCAACTGCAACCTTAAGAGTTCTGTGAATGGCTCACGGGAAAGCAGTCTGAGAAGTAGCCAGATAGTAGTAGCCTTTCTACTTGTAGCTCACCAAGATAAGACGCAAAGCGAATCGACCTTTTAGATCTGACGTTTCAGTTCCTATAGAGTCGTGGCCCCAAAAGCAGAAGCTTCTATTTTTGGGTCCCTTCTGGGCAAGGAGTGCAGTCGTGCCTACAGACTGGGCTTGGGAGCCTCGCATTTTTGAGCACGCTTTGAGACTGATGCGACAGGCCGGAGATGGAGATGGTGGACGAGTAGGAAATCCCAGCATAGACTTCCCTCTGGCGAGACTTGTGCACTACCTGGCTGTGCCTTGTTTGGTGGACCCCCAAAACGGCTTCGGTTTTCCTGATGGCTGCCCTTTCAAAACAAGGGGGTCCCCAAAAAAGGCATCCTTCGGGCAGGCAGGTCACGCCGCAACCGCGCAGCTCAGATGGGAGCTTCGGTTGTACCTTTTCTCTGGTCCAGGCGGGTGGAGCTACCCTCTATTTTGGCAGGGTATCATGTCGACCCTCTACTAAAAAAGAACCCTGAAAAAAAGCGGTATTTTGAGTAGGGGGGAAATTTGGGCTTCCCGGATGTCTCGCCAACCTGTAGTTGGCGTCCTCAGAATGCGCCAAAGTGGTCCATACAAGCAAAGCCCAAACAGATGTTGTAAGAGCTTCTAAAAGTTAGCCTTGTTTCTGCTGGCCTCTGGGAGCCGTGGTTGCTGCAACTGCCTGGCTTCTGGGAAACCAAACAGGTCAGGCGCCGATGGTTTTCGCTCTGCGCCATGGCAGCCGGGCCTTCCGGGCGCTCCGTGGGGTGTCCTCCGCCGCGGCAGCGGAGTCGGTGTTCCGGATCCTGTCGCCCACGGCGATCTTGGGCTACGGCTTTCCGGAGGAGCGCCTTTTCGACTGGAGCAAACCAACGTACGGACAGTGCCCGAACAAACCACTGGACAAGCCCACTGCCAGTTCCCCCTGTTTTTCCTGCTAAGCAGCCTCCAACTTGATTTGTTCAAATTTGAACGGACAAGACCGTCAAACGACACAAGTTGGGCGAAGCCTGGCTGAGTCTTTACCCAGCTGCGAAGTTTGTAGCAAGCAGGCGAAAAGGGACCTCTGTAAAGGGCTAGCAAGGAGTTTCTTCAAACCGGCATCCCTCAATTTCCCGTTTTCCCTCCAAAAGTGGCGGAGCAGTTTCAATAGAAACCACCCTCCAAATCGCAGCCTTCTACTGGGGATGTCCAGACCAACCATTTTTGATTCGGGTCCTGACCTGAGACTCCAGGTATATGTTTAGATCAAGAGTTGGCTGAGTTCACTCTCGCAGTTTTTCACAAAACTGCGCGCTTGGAACAGGACAAGGGCGACAGTCTTCCTTTTTGGTTCCCTTCCAAGAAGCTCAAAACGGGGCTTCCCGGCAAAACATGAAACAACTTGAAGAACTGTTTGCTTTACAGGCACGGATTGCAATAGAACTGGATGGCCACCGCGAGCGTTTTCCGAGGAAACGAGCCAAACGGGGAGGTTGTCAGTAGGCTGAGACTGCAATCTTGAAACTGATCGATGTCCTGTATGTCTCCTGAAACTCAACCAAGAAGGCGGATCCGACGCGACACACGCGCGAGAAAGTCACCTGGACCTTGCCAACTGCCAAGTAGGTGGCTCGTCTTTTTCGGACCCTTTTTTTGCATGGAGAATTAAAAGGAAGCCAAAAGGAAAACCGATGCCACTTTTTGGGGGGGGGCCTTTAAACAAAAAGAGCAAGTGGCTCTTTAAGTGTACGACGTCTCCTCCAAATTCAATGGAAGACCTTGCCCGCCCTTGAGTGCCTGTCCGCTTGAAGCAACAATTGTAACAAAACCAGGGAGCTGGTGAGCAACGGGTACTTCGGCCACATGGACGGTCGGTGTTGGGTATAGCTCATAGCCAAAATGCAGGAAACACAACGCCGCCGGCCCCCTCATTATGATGGATGTTGTGAGAGAGGGCTTTAAGTCCAGCGAGGGCTCAAGTGTAGAAAAGCCTTTTGGATGTGCTCTTCATTCTCAGAGCCATAGCGAGCCGTTGCAGCTTAGCATTGGTGCCTATTAGCCATGGGTCTTACCTCCCCTGGTGTCTTGGAGGGTCCCAACAGGTACCTCATATTTTCGCGGATTTGAGGAACCTGGTAACCTGTTGCCCTTAAGCCAACACTCTTTGGGAAGACCATTGTGGGAAACACGTCTATAGTGGACAAGACAAACTTCGGACTTGTTTAGCCAATCCACTCAGGGCACTCAGTCTGAACTGGGACGGGCCCATATTATTTAAGGGGTTCATTAACCCGAGGGTCAGCACATTCCCGGTGGCCCGCATCCATGGTTTAGTTTAGGGTAGGCAAAATGGAGCACACTCAGAACATGCATTAACATCCTGGACCCTCAAACTTTCCATCAAAATGGTTGATATTGCAACCCGAAGTCATGGGATTTCCGGCTCCCTTTCTAAAGGATAGTTTGAAGGTCCGGGATGTCAAATGTTTGTCGTGCCCTTGGGCCACCCAATGCTTCGATATGTTTACCTCTAGGTCCTACCATGGATTGTTTCCCAACCCGCAAGCCTTTTGTGATTTGACTGGCAGCACTGGGCAGACAAAGTGAACAAAATCAGAACCTGTAGCATCCTGGACCCAGCTGCCCAGAAAGATGGGCTACAACGGCTACAACCCAAAAACATGAGATGGAAAACCCCCGTTCAGGGTTGAGGCTCCAGAATTGTTGGTGTGCCCTTGGGACACCCAGTGCTTCCAGTTGCCGCTACGTAACCCTTCGGCATTGTTTTCTCTAGGTTTCACATCATGGCTGGTTTCCCCTACCAAGCCCACTATAGTGGTAACCGGAAGCACTGGGCTAGTCTACAATTAATCTGGGAGGGACATGGGACAATTTTTTATGGGTAGGACCCCCACGCTTGGCCGCGCAAGGTCGTTGGAAGCACGGGGCAAAGTGCTGGCTTTGTATTTCTTAGTTAAAGGGGCAATCGTGTACTTAGTAAGTGGGTAATAACTATGGTTATAACCCACTGACCAGGGTTATAAGTCTCCGTAACCAGGCTTACTAACCACTTACCAAGTACCTGGAGGTTTCGTGACCCTTAAAAAATGGGGCCATGGCCAAAAAATAATGGTTGGTCATTGACCCATTTTTATTTCGGGTCAGAAGGAGACTCCAGGTACCCCCCAAAAAACAAAAAGGAAGAATAATCTCCTTTCAGTGGGTTATAAGTGGGCCTACTAATCACTTACTAACCCGTTCGCCCCTCGAAGTACCCATTTCGGAAGCGGAAAAAGAAGCCGATTCAGGAGTCCTTCGAGGCAGCCGTCGCCTCGCACTCCTTCGACCTCATCGCAGTGGATGCCGGGTCCATCGATCCAGGCGTGCACAACGGCCAGTGGCCTTTGTCGCTTGTGCCTTTGCCTGGAGTCTCCTTCTGAAATTGAAAAAATGTGCTCATTACCTAAAATAATGGTTGGTCATTGACCCATTTTCAAAGTGTCATGGAGACTCCAGGTGGCCGTAGAAAACCCGGATTTTGTCGAACGAATATTGTTCAAAGAAAGGGAAGAGCCACGCATTTGGCCGTATGACCGTTTTTTTTTGGGGGTTCTTTTTGGAAAAGCCGTTTGACCAATGAGAACAGCCTTTTGGGGCTCCAGGCACCTATTTGGGCGTGGCTCCAAATCGGTGTTTCTTAAAATAGGCGACCACTGAATGAGTGGCTTCCTGTTGTTTTTCCTTCCATCCGAACAGGGGGTTTATTTCGGTGCGACCACCTAACACAAGGGGCTCAACAACTACCAATAGTTTACCCCAGGTCTCGTGACAAAGTCCCCCAGTAGTGCCCTTTCTCACCCCTTTTTGGGGGTAGGGTTCCCCTACTAAAACAGACTACAGAAAAAAGTTGGTACCAACTTATTCTAATCTCTCTGCTGGAGGACCTAGGTGATTAAATCACCCATCAATCAAAAGATTTTGGCCCTTGTAGCAGCTGGTTGTGGGCTCAAAGTGGGCCTTGCAAACGGTAGCCACCTGGAGTTTGGGCCTCCCATGGGCAACGACCAAATAAACGAGCCACGGACCGTAGGATTTGGAGTTGTGTCTTTTTCAGCGCGGTTAGGGCGTGGGGGACCCCACTTTTGTGCTGTCTCTTTTGCATCGTGGCACTTAAAGTTTGAATGCTATTGGCCAGGATCTTTACCTTTGTCCAGGGAACATGATTAAACTTGTCCACCGTGCGTGACTGTTTTTTTTTTTTTGCACCCCCAGATTGTCGTGTTCCTTTGGTTTCCCGTCAAAACCACAAAAAAACAGGCCCTTCCCCCCCAAAAAGCTGGGAGACGAGCCGATAGGAGGCGAGAGGCAAACCGTGCTGCTGTTTGTGGTGAAAAGAAAGCCATGGTGAACTTTTACATGGGGATGTGGCTTTTTGTGTGTGTGTGTAGTTGTTTGTTATTTATTATGATTTTCAGTTGTTTATGTCTTTTCTTCTTTTCTTTTTTGCTGGGGGGCGGGGGGGTAAAGGGACAAGACGCACCCATATCAGGTCTTCACGGCCACAAGCTAATACATGGCCCAGCTTTGTTTGAAAAAGTGTCTTCTCCGCATTTGGTGTTGAGATTTGGTGAGTCTCGCGGCTCCTGAGAAAAACAAATCGAGCCTTTCTTTGACCTCTTTTCAAGCCCGTGGAGTTTCTCCAAAACAGGCCTACGATTGACTCCCAACCACCCTGCAAGCAACACAACCGATGGCTTTGGTAAACAACCCCTTTGAACCGACCTTGTACGCACTTGCATGCCCACTAATCACCCCTTTTCCAACCCGTAAAATCTCCTCACGCCCTGTCCCTTTCAACC